CAGCCTCTTTTTTTCCGGTCTTCCCAGTCTACCAAGGACCCTGCCCGCCGCGACCGGGGAGTCTGGGTCCTCCGGAGGACCCGGCCTGTCGTTTTGGACACAGCCTTTATGTTAATGGAGACTTAATGTGGTTCTATTGTGAAAAGCCCGGGGGAAGTAGTTTGTAATGGAATTGGAAATGACTGGTGTGCGAGGTGAGTCATGCTGATAATCTTTATTAAATAACATAAAACAATAAACCCGATCATAAACTTTTCTTAACCCTCCTCCTTCACGACCGGACCAAAATGCGTGACTACTGTCTACAACCAGGAGGAGAAAAGACACAGACAGAGGTACGGTAAAAGAAAAAAGTTAATAAGCAGTGTTTGTACATTTTATTATCAGCTGACCTGTGATGAAAAGAAAAATACCGTCAAATACCATCAAACTGGTGTAAATGTTGAAAATACCGCGACATAATTTTTTGGCCATACCGCCCAGCTCTACCGAACTCATAAAGTTCTTCTTTTTTACTTTGCGATGTCATTAATGAATGGACACTTCCTGGTATGTGGGGCAGGAAACGTAGCCCTATATGGTGTTTTCAGGGTGGCAATTATGCTAATCACCGCTCCTCGAGCACCTGATACACATTCATCAGTTTGAGCTGCTCATTTACGCACTTTTCCTGAAGATAGAAGAGTTTGTTGAATCTGACGTAGCTACGTCAGATTCAACAAACTCTTATATCTTCAGGAAAAGTGTGTAAATGAGCAGCTTAAACTGATGTATTGACAAAAGTAAGGGAAATTTAGGATAAGAATACGAACATGTTCTTGCATGAGGTCCAATCGGTACAGGATGGCGTGTGATAAAGAGGTTTAATGCAGCTGTGTTTCAGGTGTTTTATGATTCACACTGTCACACAGAGAACAGGTCTGTGGTGCGTTTGTGTGCGGACTCAGAGGCAGAAAGTTGACCACGCTCCTCAGTTTGTTCTGTAAACCTTTTCACCTTTATTTTTCTACATTTGGATCAGCTCAGTGTGGAAGCCTGGACATGTCAGTTGCTTTCAAACCACAAACCGCCATCGAAACAATCAACACCCCCCCACCCCCCAGCATCAACGCGACACATCTTCACCACAGCCACTCGCTCAGACGCGACCAACCAGTCGATGGAACCTTCCCTGTCACCCGCGTCGTGTAAACCTCGCTGAAATGTTGTACGGCTTTCAAGAAAAACAAAACTCCTCGCTCCCTGGCTCACAGAACACGTAAAGGAAGCATGACGGATGAAATGATGCTCTGTTGTCTCTCTCACAGTAAGATATGAATGTTCAGAAACTGCAGTTAAAACTTGCAAATAAAAGATAAAAATATGTGGCTACAAATAGAAATGATGATATAGTTTCTATAACTTCAGATATGTCCTCTGAACCCACATTTCAACTCTTTTACTTCGCCTGTTTACGGTTATTCTGTCGATATGTCCACAGGAAAGAGACTTTCCTACAGGTTTTTTGTCCTAAAGCAAATAAATGTGTGACTCATCATATCGAAATGAGGATTAAGTCAAATTTGGTCAAAATGACCAAATCACATTTTTCAGATTCCTGCTTTAAAAGCTACGTTTTGATACCTGGATCATTCTGATATCATAAACTTATCCAGAGATATGACTTCATTTGTCTTGTTGGTTATGATGATACATTAATATTTGGTCTGAATC